AGTGTCCCCAGCTCTTTATGAACAAAACCTCATGGGAGAAATTATAGCATCTTAGGATCATATAGGATCATAGGATCTTAGATGTAGAGCTGGAAAGGATCTTAGAGACCATTTCACAGATAAGGAAAAGGAGGAACAGTGAGATAAATTACTTGCCCCTGGTCACATAGTTCAAAAGTGGCCAAAGCCAGACCCTTTGACTCCACCTCCAATACACATTCCACTGGACCACACTGCCATGCTCACTTCTTTTGGGTCAAGTTTAGCCTCAATATCACAGTGAAACAATGGTTCACTTTAGATTGGGAAGTTCTGGGTATAACAAGTCCTATCTAGAAACTTCCTTATCCCTGAAGTCTGCTAAAAAATGATAAGATATCTTGAGCAGGAAACTATTTGACTAAAGCAAAACAAGGGATCCCATATGAGTTTCTCAACATTTATATATTATCATACAAATGTATGTTTTTTCTTAGAAAAATGTTGTGACAGAGATGGAAGTGACCATCACTTAATTCCTCATGTTCCAGATGAATAGAGAGGTTAGATAACTTCAAGATAATCATAAAAATAATCATATCTGTATTTACTATCTATACTTATTAGCATATAATTATCTTTGTAATTAAAAAAACCAATAACTTACATTTTGCAAATTGTTTGATATACATTATTTCCTTTATACATAGCAGAAACTCTGTGAGCTAAGTAGCCCATGGATCCTTACCTCATTTTGTAGTTGAAGCAACTAAAGCTCAGAGACTTTTGTATTGTGAGGCTGTAAATAAGTGTCAGTGTTGTCTGACTCAGAGTCAAACGCTGTACCCACCACAGTGCTGCATTAGAGCCAGATCAGCGTAGCTAGAGCTACTGGGCTGATCACCCATCGTCAGCAGCTGGTAGTCATTTGGAAACTCTCAAGCATGCTAGTGCAAAGTAACTGGAAATTTATTGGAAATAGGAAAAATGGAAGCTACAGGACATTCAAAATTTCTAGCATGGGAGATGCCAACAGTGTTGAGGCTGGGATGTACAGAAGAACGTGTGCTAATGCTAATAGCTATTTTCATTTTCTGATAACAACTCTTTCTTATTATTCTCATCATTTTCTTCCATTTCTCTTTCCTCATATTCTTGTTTTAATTTTCCCCTTTTCCTCTCATTGCTGCTCTGACACTGGTACATACATGATATAAGAAATTCCATTTTGTTTCACAATTTCCAAAGTTAACTCTTTCATATGTCTTTCAAGAGTTAAAACAAGACAAAAGACTTTCATTTTGGGGACTTCTTCCTTCTTGCCATTATTGGTATTTTGCCTTTAGAGATGGAATACTCTCCTAGATTAACATCAGAATTCAGTGAATAGAATTGATCTACTCACAAACTCCCCAACTTTGAACTCCATCCTCTGGGCCAGCATCACCATTATCTCATTAAACTCTTGTTACATTTAACAGAGTTCATGGCATTATTGATTTAGAACTAAAAGTGACCTTAGATAATCTCTTCCATTCCCCTCATATTGCAGATAGAAATGGAGACTCACTTAAATGTCTTGCCCATAGTCTTACTGATTGTAAAGATCTGAGACTGGACCCAGGCCCTCTTTTTTTTAATCAGCATTTTCCCCACTGTACAGAGCTGCCTCAGTGATTAAAATACTGCCAACTTCTCATACTGGTGTTAGACTGGAGTCCCTGAACTTCATTTTTACATTTCAGCATTGCACTTTCAAAATTAGTATGTGTATACCTGAAAAATTGCTGTTGAAATATTTTTAGAAGTGTTTTAACTTGTGTTAATATTTCAATATAGCCACACACTCTAGTCATGTTTATGGAGAAAAGAAGGTGAGAGGGAGAAAAATAAAGGGAAGAGGCAGAGGGAAATTGGTGAGTGGGGGAGTATGGGCAGCTGAAAGAGATGACCTTGAACCCAGAAGGCTTCAGATACCAGCTTGATCATTAAATAACTATGAGGCCTTGGAGAAATCATCTAACATAAGGAATTAAGTGATGACCATTTCCATCTCTCTCACAACCTGTTCGTAAGAATAGAAACATAGTTGTGTGATAGGAGTATATATATTTTGAGGATCATGTAGGATTCCTTGATTTTCTTTAAAATCTAGTACTTTCCTTGTCAAGATATCTTATTATCTTTTAGCATGTTTCATGGATAAAGAAGTTTCTAGATAGAACTTGAAACACCCAAATTCTCCCAATATGAAGTTAAATGATGACCTAAGTTTTCTGTCTCTAAAGTGTGCTGTAATTGGGGCAGAACAGGTTGATTTTTATAAGGTCACATAAGTCAAAAACATCTAATAAAGCATATTTAAACGCTAGGCTAGCAGAATTGGGCAAAGTACATAATCTAGATAAAATATAGTCTCTCTCTTTGTGGAATGTATAGTTTAGAAGGTGGAATAAGATTCTGACACATTTGACTATAATGCATAAGGATACATAATAGGTTCATTAGAGAGAAATAAAAAAAGTGCCCAGGGATGTCAAGGTAGAAAGCTTTTGTGAACAGTATGATTTGGAAAGGCTATATGGTGGAGGAGACATTTGAATTTGGATTTAAAGGATGGGTGGATGGAATAGATGAAGAAAAAGAGAGAGGACATTGCAGTCATACAGAACAATATGAGAAAATGTACGGAGGTAGAAAAGCATAGGCTCTCTGGGATATGGCAAGCAGTCCACTTGGACAAGTAGGATATAGTATGTGAAGCTGAAAGGTAGGATAATGCCACATTGTGAAAGAGCCTTGAATTATAGACAAAGGACCTTTAACTTTACTTGGAAAGTAATAGGAAGCCACTGAAGATATGAAGCAGAGAGATGATATAATGAGATCTATAGGTAATCCTTCTGGCCATGGCATGAAGAATGGGTATGGAGGATGGTTAAGTGGAGGCAAAAATGCCTACTATGAAGCTACAGCAATGATGGGGCTGGTTGTTAATGAGGAACTATGCTTAGTGATAGAAGTAGAAATAGGAAGGATGATAAGATACAAGAAATATTGTGGAGGTCGAATTGACAGAAATGGATAATTTATTGGATGAGAGAAATGAGAGGAAAGGAATAAATCAAATTTAGTGATAGTGAAGAAATAGTGAAGCCAGCAGGAAGAACAAACTTAGGGGGAGGAAAACAATAAGTTCACTTTAGGACATGTCATATAAGGTGCTAGCGGAACTTGCAAGTAGAGCTCTCATGTGGACAGTATGAGATGACAATTTCTTTTTTTATATCCTTTATTAATTTATTTTGATTTATCAACAATCACTTTCATAAGCTTTTGAGTTTTAAATTTTTCTCCCCCTCTCTCCCCACCTCCCTCCCCAAGAGATGACAATTTCTTAAAGGAAAGTTTAGGGTCTAACATGGAGATGTGGGATTCTGGCTTAAACATAGTAATTAAAGCTGTAGATATGAATTAAACTGAAAAGAGAAAGAGGAGACAAAAAGAGGATCAAAAAGAGAACTTTGGTGAACACTGGTGCTAAAGAGTCAGGAAGAGGACAAAACCAGTAATCATTTGAGATAAAGAACAAGAAAGCTTTTAGAGACATGGAAGGAGGGTTAGAAAAACTTGGTGTTTCTGAAATCAAGAGGAAATACAGGAAAAAAGGAGTGGCCAATAGTGTCAGATACTGCCAACTTGTCAAGGAGGTATGATGGTGAACTCTGATTAACCTCATTAATAGAATGAAGAAGAAACCTTCTTAGAAAATTTACACTATCTCCTCAGCATATAATCTCTTTCTCCTTCACTCCATCGTGTCTACACCCAAGACAGCATGGTACAAAGGAAAAACAAATAAACAAACAATGGATTTGGAATCTGAAGATCTAAGTTTGAGTTATGACTCTGGTGTTTATTATGTAAGTGGCTTAGGCTTAATCGTTTAGTTATTCTGTAACTTTTTTTTTCTTAAGCTATTTCAGGGAAGCAACTGTTCCATTTTCACTGTCAACCCTAGGACAGAGCACTATACCTTGCACATAGTTGGTGTTTAATAAATGATTATTGAATTATTCATTCATTCATTCATGAAAGTGCTTGCTGTCAACCCCATAGCACAGCAGGATGAAAAAAAAAAGTTATACTGAAATTATTATTGTAAGTGGTAAAGGAATATATGTATATATATATAAAATACATTAAAAGTGGTAAAATATATATCTATAATATATGAGCTATTATGATAATTAGTTGTCCTAAAAATTGCTCTAATCACATTAATCCCTTCTTTAAAACCTTTAAATAGTATTAAAATTCATCTACTCAGTCTGTCATTCAAAACCCTCTGAAACATGACTCCAATCTTTTAAATCTTACCTCTGACCCCTCCCTAGGTTGACCCTTCCTACTCCAGTCAGATCCATCTATGCCTTTCTCCACATTCTCATGTTTTCACCCTTACTTGTGTAATTTCCAATCCTGAAGTGCTTAACCCTTTTTCTCTGCCTGTTCAAACCTCATTCATTGTTCTACAGTCAGATCAAGTTTTATTTCTTCTGTGAAGCTTCTTTACCACTCTACCCTAAAATGATTTCTTTTATACCTCTAATTTATCTACCATTCATTTGTCATGGGTATATAGCCCATATTATCTTTTTATGTGTGTATCTCAACTTCCCTTTAGTATGTCTACTATAGTATAATAGGATGGGGAAGAGTAAAAATAGTAGACATACTCATCTACTAGAGTATGTACTACAGCATAATAGAGTATCTACTAGAGTATTGTGGAGTATAATAGAGGACAATAAAGTATTGTCTCTATACGTAGACACCCCAAAATGCTTGTTGGTTGATATTACAAATAGCTGTTTTATTCTAAGACATAAACCTGTAAAGTAATCATTTCCTTTTATAAAAAAAAATCAGCCAGTTTGTAAAGGCAATTATTACACAATCAGTCAATTGCTTCTCCGATTTTCTTCTCTTCAGGTGGTAAAAACCTGTAGATTGAATAAATGGCTGGAGGAAATCAATCCATTGTGTCTGAGTTTGTGCTGCTGGGCCTCTCTGACTCTTGGGAACTTCAGCTTTTCTTCTTTGTGATCTTCACCATAGTCTATGTGGCATCTGTACTGGGCAACATTATCATTATCCTCACCATTGTTTCTGATTCCCATTTGAACTCCCCCATGTACTTCCTGCTCAGCAACCTCTCTTTCATTGACATCTGTCAGTCCAACTTTGCCACACCTAAGATGATTGCTGACTTTCTTGTTGAGCACAAGACCATCTCCCTTGAGGGCTGCATGGCCCAGATCTTCCTTCTTCATAGCTTTGTTGGAAGTGAGATGATGTTGTTGGTAGCAATGGCGTATGATAGATTCATAGCCATATGTAAACCTCTGCATTATAGTACTATTATGAATCGGAGACTCTGCATAATTTTCGTGGCTATATCTTGGGCTGTGGGGATCCTGCACTCTGTGAGCCACTTGGCCTTTACAGTAGACCTACCATTTTGTGGGCCTAATGAGGTAGACAGTTTTTTTTGTGATCTTCCCCTGGTAATTGAGTTGGCCTGCATGGATACTTATGAAATGGAGATTATGACATTAACCAACAGTGGCCTGATCTCTCTCAGTTGTTTTCTAGCCTTAATTATTTCTTATACTGTTATATTAGTCACTGTCCGGCACCGTTCCTCTAGTGGTTCCTCCAAGGCTCTCTCCACCTTAACAGCTCATATCACAGTTGTAATTCTTTTCTTTGGACCATGCATCTACTTCTATATCTGGCCTTTTAGCAGACTCTCGGTAGATAAATTTCTTTCTGTCTTTTATACAGTTTGTACCCCTCTCTTGAATCCCATCATCTATTCTCTTAGGAATGAAGATGTCAAGTCTGCCATGAGGAAATTAAAGAGCCAGTATCTCAGTTCATGGAAATATTAAATGACCAACAGGAGAGAGAAGCTGCCTAACTAAGACACGTTCCCTAAAAGATCATAAAAGTCTGTTACTGAATTAGGCTGCTTTACTTTATTGTTATCCCTTAAATGGGAAAAAGAGTTGGATGGAATTTGCCCCTAGATAATGAAGATTATGTCTCATTTGTCAATCTTAAAATACTTACTTTAAAATAGAATATATTGATTATGATAAATTTATTATTAAGTTCCTTTCCTTTGCACAATTGGGAATGTGAAAGGTATTTGCCCTTCAAAAGAGGAATAAAGAGTAGCTTCACAAGGATCTGTAATGTGGAGAGAGAAAATGAATATTAAGTAATACTGAGTCCCAATCATAGATTTTCATGTTCCTTGAAAAAAAACAAAGGTAAGGAGGAATCAAGTTCCCATCTACATCTACTCTAAATATGGTAAGTTGGATTTTATAGTTGGCTCAGTTCTCTGTCCACAATTCTTCCACCTTGATTCCTACATGAAACTTAAGTAGAAGAGAGAAAAACCTACAATTGGAGGACCAGGCATATTCCTCACAAAAAAAGCATTGTGGAATAGGTGATGGAGAAGTGTGCCATTGTCATTGCTCTCAGTTTAGTTGGTTTATTTGTACAATATGACAAAAGGAGTCAACCTTGTTCATGGGTGTTGTTCATCATAATAGTACAATTACAAACATTTGAGCCATTATACTGGTTAGAAGAAATTTCTTAGGATTTCAGATAATAAGACAATTGTTGCAAGTGTACAAAGCCAAACATTGATATGACTAATGGACAATGTAGTGAATGATCCTGGAAACTTGATGATCATCTGTATATTTCTTCTGAATTGTGCCAAGCACATTTTGCTTTTGCAATTATTATTAAAATAAATATTCATTCTTTGTGGGTGCTTTGTTTCTTTTGCACACTACCCACGCTGGTGGAAAAAGATGTAATTTTGTTTGCTTCACTTGTTAACAAGACAAATTTCCATATATATATTTGTGCAGGGTACCAATTCCAAAAGTATTTGATTATACCATCTGTACTTGAGCATGGTGCCAAGGAAAAGGCGCAAAATCTCACTTCTACAGTACAGACATATTCCCCTTCTCCTTCCTCTTTCCATTTATTATGCAAGTTTGAGGATTTAAAATTAGGTATCACATTGGGTAAGCAGACGTAACACAATAGAATGAGTCCAGCAACAATGAGGTGAATGGAGGCTGTCGACTTCTGTGAACAGGGCTGGCTTTTCATTTACAGAATATCAAGAATTACAGAGTTTGAAGGGATCTAAAGAACAACAATCTCTCTAACTTGCCCTCAAATCCATTCTTTGCCCGAGGACCACTCTTTCCCAAGACAACCATAGCTATAACAGTTAGTAAATTTTTCTTCACGTTGCAATCTAAATTTTCATCTTAGCAACATCCTCCCATTTCCCCAAACCTTCAATTTGTTACTCTAGGTCTCTTAAACTGTGGGTCATGACTCCATATCATGACCCACAGTTTAAGAAGTGCTGAAGGGGTCAAGAGTGGAAAAAGTACTCCCATGTTAACCCATAGGGTTCTTGTGAAAATTAAATGAAATAACATATGTAAAATTATTTCAAAATTTCAAAGCACCTTATAAATGCTACCTGTTATTATTATAAAATTATTATTACTATTATTATCATAAGCCCAGTTTTAATTGTTTTAAATATAGCAAAAATATTTATGAGGTTACAAGGCAAATAGATTAACCAGTCTTTATTTTCTATCTTCCTTCCTTCCTTCCTTCCTTCCTTCCTTCCTTCCTTCCTTCCTTCCTTCCTTCCTCTCTCTCTCTTTCTTTTTCTTTCTTTCTTTCTTTCTTTCTTTCTTTCTTTCTTTCTTTCTTTCTTTCTTTCTTTCTTTCTTTCTTTCTTTCTTTCTTTCCTTATTGTTCTTCTCTCTCTCTGTCTCTCTCTGGGTATCTCTCCTCTTGTTTTATCCTAAATATTTGTCCTAGTGATTTGAAATCAATTCTAAATAATTTTAATTGAGGGAATTGGAATAGCAAATGGTGGTGGGAATTGAGTGAACCACACCAGCTCCATCTTGTGATTCAATTCTGGAACTAGCTCAGTTCTCTTTCTATTCAGTTATGGGTCTATTACAATTTTTTTATGAGAAAACTTCATTCAATTGTGAGAAATTGCAAGAAAACTTTATTGCATTGTTTGAACCTAGCCCTGTGTGGGATGCTGGACCACCTCTACCCTGCTTCATAGAGACTTTTTACTAAGGACTATGTTGTTGAGAAACCCAGTCAGATTGATTTTGCTTTCCTCAAATCTTCAATTCAAATAAAGGAAAAGGTTGATGCAAGGAGTTTTCTCACAGATATACATCTCTAGCAACCTATATGTTTTATCTGAAAACTGGCTCCATATTGTTTAATCAATTATTGTTTCCATGTTCCTGAGGAGAGTAGGACACCTCTTTTTCTGAATTCAGAGAATTGTGCCTGTTTGCTCTCCCTCACCCAAGTTGGAAAATCTCTAATCTTTCCTCCAATTTGAAATCAGATTACCTGATTTTGTATCCTGGTTTGTACCCTTTTAATTATTTTCTTAATTAATTTGTCTTAATTGATGAATGGTTTTTAGTGAATAAAAATGTCTCCCTTACATTCAGTGTCCAGTGCCAAATCTGAGGGGTCTGGTCCCAATTTGTTATGCAATTGACACGCATTGCTTAATAACTTGATATGCTCGGAAGTTCGAATCTTTGTTTCCTTAACTATTTCATCTTTCACCTGACACATAAGAGCACTAAAGTTCAAACTTCAGCTCTGCTACTGATTACACCTAATAGACCATAACTTCTTAAGATAACTTTTCAGGACCTTCGTTTCTTTATCGACTAAATTAGAAGGTTCAATTAGGTGTTCTCTCAGGTCCCTGCAGCATTAAATTCCATGACTTTGTTGGTATTACCATCTACATAGATATCTAGATGAGTATCAACTGACTAGATTCATTTAGATACCTCAAACAAGGATTTCCACGGTCCTGCCAAACTGAAGATTTGGTTGTGATTTGAGTCTTCAGACTAATAGAGTGCTTTCTTAAATTTGCCTTCTATCTTATTAAAGGCCCCTATGCACTAGTTGATGGCCTCATATGCTTTAGAAAAGTTACCACAATTTCTTTTTTCTTCTTTTTTTTCATAATGTATTTTTTATTACAGAGAGAACCAAGAGGAAGTTGACTTGGGGCTTGATAATTGTGTGGCAGCTCATTTGAAGCTCATATAATGCAACTTGTTATGTTAATTCACTCACTGTAAATTAACATGGCAGCTTCCACAAGAATAGAGCCAATCATTGTAAACATGGTATTGAAAAAGCTAGTGGATTCATCCAGCATAGGTGGGAAATAAGTCAATTAAACATGTCATAGATATTACACAAGAAATTTCATTAAAATGAATTTATTGGGGCAACTAGGTGGCGCAGTGAATAGAGCATTGGCCCTGGATTCAGGAGGACCCGAGTTCAAATCTGACCTCAGATACATAATACTTTCTAGCTGTGTGACCTTGGGCAAGTCACTTAACCCCACTGCCTAACCAAAAACAAAAACAAAATAAAAATTTAAAATGAATTCATTGACTGTTCTGTATGTTTGGGTTTTTTTTTTTTTTTTTGCTGTTGTTTGTTTTCCACTGCCTGTCATTAATATATAGATTAAGTCTGGTTAGACATGGATTTTATTTTTACATTTATTTATTTATTTATTTTTTTGCTAAAGGGTATAATCACTTTAAGAGATAAAGACATAATGATACAGTAAAAGGAATGTTGGCTCTGGAATCAGATGACAGGGTGGAATCTCAGTATTGTGAGGTTGGGTAAATCACGTCAGCTCTCTGGGCCTCAGTTTCTGTAATTTTAAAGTGAAAGTCTTAGACTAAATGATCTGTACAGTCTCTTTTATCCCGTAATCTATGACCTATGATCCTGAGACAATATATAATACTAGAAAAAAAAACCAGACATTGAAAGACTTATATGAGCTTATGTAGTATGAAGTGAACAGAAACAAAAAATTGTACTATAACATCAATATTACAAGAATGAACAATTTTGAGTTTTTTGAACAAATGAAGAATGAAATGAGTAGAACCAAGAGTACAGTTTATATGACCACAACACCGTAAAACAAACAAATTTGAAAATTGTAAGAACTACAATCAATATAGTGACCATTCATGAATCCAGAGAGACAATGATGAGGCATGCTATACTTTACAGAGAAGTGATGGATTTAGGGTATAGATTGACATACACATACAGACATTTATGTGTGTATGAGTGTACACATATGTCTACACATATATATATATATATATACTTACATGTATATATAAATAAAACTGTCTGTGAAAGTTTACAACTTGAAATCAGCAAACACTACAAATCAGAGCTTAATGTATTTACTTTATTGAATGTCTAGATTTGTGAAAGTGATAAAGAAAATGTTAAGAATTCAGATTAAACTTAAAAAGTGTGTTGTGGGCACATTTTTCCATGCTGGAGAACTGGTTGTTAAACATTTGCCAACACTTTCATGATTGTAAAATATGCTATAAAGTTGTCTATGTATTTTTCCTTTTTTGTTTTTATTCTCTTTTTAAGGCTTAAAGACTTTATTCTTTTTTTTCAGTTTTAAATTCTTTCCCTTCCTTTCCTCTTCTTTCATCCAATCAGTAAGAAGAAAAACAAAGCCTATGTATATGTATGATCACACAAAACAAATTTATATATTAACCACTTTCAAAAAAAAGAAAGAAAAAATGCAATTCAACTGCACTTTGAGACTATCAGTTCTCTCTCTGGAGATGAATAGGATGTGGTGTCATGAGTCCTTTGGAATTATGGTAGATCATCATGTTGATCAGAGATACTAAGTTTTTCAAAGTTTATTATCTTTACAATTTTGCTGTTGCTGTGTAGATTGTGCTCCTGTTAC